ATCTTGCGGTTCTATGCTATCCCAGTTTGCAACAGTCCAACCTGGGCTGGTGGCAGCCCCCATTCCACCTCTCCACGTGCCGCTGCACAGCTCCCCAGGACTGGGAACCAGGAACCTGGGGTGTAAGGATTTCAGGTAAAGTAAGAGTTACTAGTTTCCTTGGATGCCTCCTGTGAGTAACGTAAACAAGCTTGGGCATCTGGCTTGGTGATAACATCTGTGTTACTTGGGAGTCTGATATTTGCTTATTTCCTCAATTCCGGCTCTATTCCAGATGACGGCGGGTACTGTAACTGTCATGTCTTTGAAAACGAGAGAAAACAAGTTTTGCCTTTAGCAACATTTAGGAATATGGTGAGACAGGGTGGTAAATGTTAACCGCTGTGTTCTTTTTAAGCCTGTCCCACCTCCCCTGTCCTAACCCACACAATCCAGCCCTTGATGACATACGCCTTCCTTGTGCTTCCTGCTTCCTGTGAGCTAAGAGTCTGTTCCCTGATCTGGACCACATTACACCCCTCCAGGGGAAGGGCTCTACTTTCTCCGGATTCCCCGCAGGGCTTGGGGAAAGCAATGCACAGCCTACCTCCTTGTAGAGCTAAGATTTCATGTGCCTATATGGCCTATACACCCCATAAACAAATGGGTCTGTCTATAGCGCGAGCCCCGCAGAAGTTATTTTTTAAATGAAGATGACAAATCTTTATAAGAATTCCAAATGATATGTACAGGCACCCTTCCCTCCAGGGGGTGGAGCTTAATCTTTCCCTCCCTCTCCTGGGTCTGGACTAGATTTAGTACTTTGCTTTTAAAGAATGATCAATGAAAAGAGAAAAAGAGTAAGGCTGTAGCATGAAGGGTAATGTCGTTAGCGATGCCACGTGGTTATCACGTGCCCCCTGATGTGATGTGACGGGAAGGACACTTCACCTCTGTGGCATTCTCCCTCAAACCCGTACCCACGGTGTCATCGTGAGAAAAACACTGGACAAACCCAATCTGAGGAAAATTCTACAAAATCTCTGCCCAGTATTCCTCAAAATAAGGTCATGAAAAATAAGGAGAGACTGAGAAACCGTAACAGACCAGAGGAGACTGGGAGATGGGATGATTAAGTGCAATGTGGTACCCCAGACAGGAGCTTGGAACAGAAAAAGGCCAGCGTGAAAACTAGTGAACTCCAAATAAAGTCTGGAGTTTGATTAATAGTGAGATACCGATGTCAGTATCTTGGTTTGACAAATGTACTGTGGTGATGATATAAGATGTTGACAATGGGGGGAACCGAGAGGAGGGGTGTACGAGACCCTCCCGTATGAACTGCACTTTTCCTGCAAATCTAAAATTAACTTATTAGGAGAACTGGAGCAGGCAGGCCTCACCCAAAGGCATTCAGTTCAATTTTTTAAAAATGTATAAAAGGGTTTATTTTTTTAATAAACAAAGTATTTTTTAAGTATATTTTGGTTGAATGTGGAAGATGAAGCGGAGGAGGGGGCGATGATCACGGTTTCTAATATTTCTATTTGGGGAAGTGAAAAAAGAGAAAGGAAAAGATAACCCCAAATTTAAGCAAATGATTAGGCCTTAAAATTGAAGACATCTTCAAAACGCCTCCCAGCTGAATGCACATCGATGCCCCACAAATCTGTACCCTCTCCCTTAAGATGTACCTTGAAGCCTCTCGCAAAGCGGTCTTAACCACATGTGGGTAATAAACTCTTCTAAAAATATATCCTCATGCTGTGTCTAGAACGGTTTTCTAGATTTAGGTATCCGATCGACACACAAAAGGGCAAGGCCTACGGAGAGAAGATAAAGCGGCGTTTTTCACTTAATCCTCTAAAACCAGTTCTTTCAGGAAGAAAAAAGGACGATTTTTCAATTTCACACCGCTCCCACCCTGCAACCCCAGAAAAGAAACCGGGAAGACATCCAGGGGGATATATGCATCACAGAGATGACCCCAGGAGATCCCAGGAAAAAAGGGATTCCTTTGGCAAAAGAAGGGCACACATGCAAATCCTCAAGTCTCCCAAGAAGAAAACAGCCCAGTCCCTAAGCAAGGCGGAGGACTGGCCGCGAGGCCCAGAAGAGCTGGTCTTCTACTGTCTCTGGGGAAAAATGTTCTTTCCAGTAACATGAGCATAAGGGAAACCTGATTACAAAAGCCCTAAGGGACTCTCTGCCTTGTACATTTATTAAATCGAATATTGCTCAGAATTCTAAAAGTACTGGCTAGCTATCGTTAAAATACAAAGATTCTGCAGTACTGTTTATGTTGTAATGGAATTTAACCTGCATATGGCTCCAGAAAATGTCCAATGTGAATGATGATGTCTTAAACTCTAAAGAAGGAGGAAGAATTTAGACAGAAGGGGAAACTGGTCTCTCCAGTCATCTTTAGGAAAAGGAAGTGAGAAACTGTACTAAAGTTCTTAGGCTATTTGACTCTCTGAACAAATTCAAATTCAGGATACCTCCGTACAAATACAGAAGCTCATAAGTGGCGCATTTCAAAGCAATGCTTTCGAATTCCATGCTCTGAATTCAGTCTGTTTCCGTAGGGCGCTATGTTCCAGGAGTCAAAGATAAAGTTACCGCAATCTGAAAGCCAGGTTCGAACATGGCGCAAGTACAAATTACAGTAAACTGTGGAATGGAAAATGCTCCCACTGGGGAGCTGGGCTGCTCCCCCAGAATCAGAGAGGGCAATTTCCCTCTGGATTCCTGGTGAAACCACATCCCCGGTTTCCACATGAATGATGGTTTTTGATGAAACAGAGCAATGAGAACCTTAAGAGGACTGCCGAGAGACAAAACTGCGGGTACTCTGACTGTAACCTCATAAAAACAGGCGCCATGACAAGACCAAGCCTCTGAATAAAAAAAAAAACAAACACAAAAAAAGATGCTAGTTGTTTCATTCACGTAGTGAGATTATGCTTGCCTTTTTCTTATTTATCTTCCACACTTTCTGTAATATTGTTTTTTTTTTTTAATATAGCTTTAAAAAAATATCAGTGCATCATCTATGAATAACCTCCCTGGACTCGAGGTTCAGGCAAGCCGATGCTAAGGTCTTAAATTTACTCCAGGAACACTGTCAAGTCTAAAGCTCCATGAGCTAAGTACCTTAAATTCTCCGTCATTATATTCTCTGAAAGCACCTTAGGCTTTCAGGATCCAGACACCTGCAATTTTTCCTTTCTTCTGTCTTGCCTTAAACCCTATGAAATTACACACAGTTCTACTGAAGTAAGTGTGAAGGGATGGCTTCATTAGCTATGGAAGCGTCATCGTGGCTGCTCAGAGTGCCAACGCAGGGTCAAACAGCAAGATGAAATTGTGAGGACCCAGAATAGTACCGCTTTGAGGTCAAATAACAATTTTAAGGTAGTAAACACCAATCACGTGCAGAACAGGCCAAATGGGCAGCCAAATGGGCAGCCAAGATGACATAAACAGGTCTGTACTAAAGAAAGCGTTAAGGAGGTCTATTTGCCTGATGAAATGGATCAGCTCGCCCACAGGGCTATTTTCACTGTAGCCAAAGCAAAAAGAGAGGACAAGTCACCCTGCCGAGACTCTAGGACTTCCTCCTGTGGACTTCCTTTTTCTTCCACTGTCACAGTGGCTTTGGAGGGACTCATCTTGAGTGGGAGAGTTTTAAATCCCTGATGGACACAAGCCCATTCTCAGAGTGGCATTATACACACCTCCGGTCAGCCCTAAGGGCTGCAACTAACTCATTGTTTATCTCTTTGAAAATCAAGGTGGGCTAGGAATGCCTTCTGGCTCTTTCCTTCAACCCTGGGCTTGCCTGTGCCTCCTCCGGAAGCTTTGCAGAGACCCTTCTGCTCTCTGGAATGTCGACCCCTGTGTCTCTTCTGCCACAGGCACTACTTTGGTAAGCTCACAGCAACTTCCCTTCCATTCTTCCCAAGCCTCGCCTTCTAGGCATTAGTGGGAACTGGCTTTTTCACCTGTGTGTTTCCACTTTCCACCCACAGCGGAAACCCCTCAGGACCAGGAGCCATTTCTTCTGTCCTTTACAGGGTAAGGGTAGCCCTTTATTTCCCACAGCCAACCCGTAAAAGGGACTGAAGGAACAAAGGGACGTTTACTCACCAAAGACAGCGAGTCACTTCAATCTAGTATTTTAGAGACTTAAGAAATGGATCCTCTGTCTCAGATCAATCAGTGAGTCACTTAATCCACAGAAACATTTCAATAGGGATATATTTTCAAACGTGAATAAAAACATCTATTATTAATGCCTTAAAGTAACAGGAAAGAAAGATGGACTCTCTTAGTAGATCTACAGTAAGTGTTTCTTAGTCTAATACATTTAGATCCCACAGCAAAGTCTGGCTGAGAAGAAAGCCAAGTGCAGCACAGGTGTTATTCTATGCCAGGTGGAGCAAGTTGCCTGCTCTCTGGATTCTGATCCAACTATGATAAAACCAAACACCGTGGTGGAATCCCAGATACCAGCCTCTTTGGCATCCAGGTTAGTCCTATTTTAAAACAGCCACCCAGAGAAGGCTGGGAGTAGGGTAGGAAGGTAAGTGAGGCGAGGCAGCCAAGCACACACTAATACAAACCAGGGCTTTCCTTAAAGGGGCCCCGGGAGAACTACAGGGTGGAACTGCGGGGCCACCCTGTGTTCCAGGCAGCCCCTGAACCAGCACCAGCTCACCAGGCCAACGGGAGGGATTTATGCCACCTAGGAAGACTGGGCGAAGAGCCTAACCTGATAGGCTCACACAGGAAGGCCCCGGTGGCTTCCAGGAACTGGATTTCCCAACCACCAAAGCTCAGTCCACCAGGCAGTAACACCAACCCCCTCACTATCTGGAAGCACAAAAGCCGAAGAAAATTAGTGAAGGTCCAACGGGCCGGATCCCTGGAATGATGGCCATTTCACCTCTCCTCCCTGACCCGGAACGGGGAGCTGTGGGCACAACATCCGACCCGCTGTCCAGGTCCACACCAACCTGGAAAGCTGAGGGCAGGTCATCTGAGGGAGGTCTCTTAGCTTGGCGGGGAGGGGCGAAGTCCATTTCTGCCACAGGTTCTCTGGCCTGTGCCCCCAGTATCTATCCTACACGGGCAGAGTGGCCACCTTAGCCCGTGGGGAGAGGTCTAGCAAGACAAGGCTCCCCTTGCCTTGTGTCCCGGATTTTCACCTCCCGGAGGCTCCCGAGACCCTCCGCGTGTCCACACAGGGACCCACTGAGATGGTTCTTGGATCCTGGGTGGAATCCTCCAAGGCAGGGGCAAAAACGCAGATGTCGTGGCCCTTGGAAGCCGAATTTCTGGAACCCGCATCCGGAAATTCGTTGGGTTTTGTTGTTTGTTGTTTTGTTTCTGAATTCCCGGGTGATGATTCTGGAAATTCAACTTTGAGATCACAAACACCAGAGCGAATCGCGACTTTCCTGAAAAGCCTCGAGACGTCCTTTCCGGGGAGGGGGCACCGCGGACCAAGAGGGGTGCGCTTTCAGGTTGGGGTCGGGCGATCGGCCCACTCGGGGGCGCAGGCGCGGAGCCCAGTACGTCTCACGGCCGAGACAAGTGCCGGGCGGCTGGAGACTGGACCGCGCAGGCTCCGCGCCGAAGATCTCGGCGGGACCTCTGCGCCGTCCACCCCGCC